TACAGATCCATCAGGACTGCCTTGAATAAACATATACGGTGGCCTCCAGAATTATTGGCACCCATTCTGAGCATGAAAACAAACCCAGGAGTGCCAGTAAATATAATAACACTTTAATAAGTTAAGTGACCCTTATTAGTCCCACAACAGGGAAATTTCACCTCTGCCTTTAACCCATCCATGCAGTGAAACACCACATACACACTAGTGAATGCACACACACTAGAAGGCAGTGAGCACACTTGCCCGGAGCGATGGGCAGCCCTATCCACAGCACCCGAGGAGCAGTTGGGGGTTAGGTGCCTTGCTCAAGGGCACTTCAGTCACATACTGTCGGCTAAGGGGATTAAACTGGAGACCTTCCGGTCACAGAGCTGGTTCCCAAACCTCCTGCCCATGACTGTCCCCAGTGACTGTCCCTGGCTGAAATATTTTGCTTTCAATTTTATCTTTTTTCACTGTAGAATAAGCTGATAAACAATATTGTTTCAAAGTTAAATTTACCAAGGATGCCAATTCTGGATAACACTATTTTAAACTATTTGTAAAAATATACCATTTGATACATTTGCTTTCAGTCAGGTGAAGAAGTAGGTACACCAGCCTTCAACCATGTTGACAGATACGGGTGATATGATTTATCAAATGGCACTAAATGGAAATAAACAGAATTGGAGTAGAGCTAAATGGCTAACTGACCCCTTCAGCCCTTCAGCCCGGCAGTTCATAGCTCTGATATTGAAATGAATCACGTACTTTCATTTCTTCATTTTTGTGTCTTATTTAAGTAACTTTCTTTTTTTTCTCACACACCCCTCCTCCTCGCCCCCTCCCCCATGGTTTTTTGGACATTTTTTCCATCGTCCACATCATTTGTCCCCAGCTGTCTTCATTCATTTTTATAGAACTACATTAGAAACAACCACACATTTCTCTCTTTTACACTCTCTCAGAGGTCCACACTCATAGCGGCCCACCGGGGATTATCCTGGTCCAGTCTGGTCCCTGGTAGTGAGCTGATGCTTAAAAACAAAGCTGCGGCATGAAATATGAGTTTTACATGTTTACGTTACGTCTTCTTCTGTGAGTTTATTGGCTGGTTGCAAAGCAGAAATCCGATTACTGTCTGACTCATGTAGACCTGGAGTTTTCACGCTATCTGATAACTGGATTCTGCCCTCACTAGTAAGCTGAGCATGTAGCAGCTGAATAATGCATCATTTATCAAGTGTGGATGTGGCGAGTGTGGTGGATGAGTCCCACATCTCTCTTGCATAGCTATATTTTGCACCATTGGGGTGCAGGATCCAGCATTTAAATACCTACGTAGTGCACCTTGTAGGGAGCAGGGAGCTGTTTGAGATTCAGCCCCAGCACAATAAGAGGGGCACCACCAGACTGGTACAAAATAAGACTTGCGGTGGTAATTTGAGGCCCAAACATTACTTATAAGGCAAGAGATTTTGCATTAAACAGTGCTGTGTTATCATATGTTCATTGTTATAAGATAAAAAGTTGCAATTTCATGAAATGACAAATGCGGTCCATGGTTGCTTAGCAATGATACCATACTCTAAAGGAACTACATTTATTGGCGGAATACTTGTTTATGTCAATTATTATTAATCATAACTTAAATTATATTCTGAAAAATTGTGTATTTTATCATCTTTTATGTTGACCACTGTTTTATAAAAGCAGTAAGCCACTTGAGGCTGTGCATTACTGTGATTTTATCACAGGCAAGAGTGTTCTTAGGCACAACGTGAAGCAGAGATGGTCCTCTCTTGGCTTATTACTTTGACATATCATGATGTGGGATGATGCAAATTTGCCCAGCCTTCTAAACATAGAAATTTATAGAGAGTGAGGTTTCCTTACTCACTTCTCTAACTTCACTTTTGGGTTCTTATTCATTATAATGCTTCTAAATTTCCCCAAAGCCTCACTCTTTGTCTCTGTCTCCTAGAACTACATGTTGTTTGGGCTTCTCTGTTGGAATTGTAGGACATTTTTTGATTGCAGATAATTTCTTAATAAAACAAAGCTGCATCGTGCCTTTCTTCTCTTTTTTTTTGAGGCAGCTTCGGTTGCTATCACAAGGATAAACCCACATCTGAAATAAATTTGGTGATACTAGTGCTGTTACTAGAACCATATGGCTCACGAGATGGGCTTTGTCTTTCTAATATTCCAATATTTTTGATCACCCACATGCCATTCCATCAAAAAGCATAACAATATGATTTGTTATTATTGCCTTAACCATGTTAACAAGGAGTCCTTGGATCCAGAGACGTGTTAATAAGTGTTGCTTTACACTATGACATCAATCCAGGGTTATGCCGTTGGCAAGTTGAAAGGCTGGTTTTAATTGTGACTTGTTTGTTGATTTAATCATGGATTCTTTTCCTGTTCTTGTTGTTGCTTGAAAGCATGAGTCATTGAAAATGATGTCTTAATAAACGCTAAAGTGCAAAAAGCTACACGTCTCTCATTTAGGTTGAAAGTCCAGAGCAGGCAGGAGGCCTCGATGAGCAAAAAAAGCAGATCAATTAACAAGTGGTGTTTTTTCAGAGGATCTAAATCAAGAGATAAAGCAAAACCAAGCTCTTGCTTTAGAAAAAAATCCACAAGTGTTTCTGTCCATCCTTCCACTGTGAGAAGATAGCTCAACACTATGAGTCTGAAAGGATGTGTAGCTGTTAAGAAGCCCTCACTGAGAAAAGGAAATAGACAAAAAAAAAGAAGAATATTTACACTCTTACACCAATGTGAACACTGTAATATACAGCAGATATCTGGAAGTAGCAGAAGGCAGTATTAATGCTGCCGAAGCACTGAAGACTCTTCCGTGTCAGTCAAGCATGGCGGAAGGTTTGGAGAGCAAGCTTGAAGCTGAAGCTCATGATTTGCTTTAGATAGAAGGCATTATGAACGCTGGTAAGTGCAAACAAATTTCAATGCCCCATGCAATACCTTGAAATTTATTCTACACCAAGACAACCACCACGAGCACAGTGCTGAGATGAACTTATCAAACAAAGGAACTGCAGGTGTTCTCAGAACAATGGACTGGCCACACCAGAGCCCAGATTTAAACATCGCTGAATGTGTTTGGGGTTACTTGGATGGAAATGCAACCAACTTCCAAGACTGAATTTTGGAGATGTGGGAAAATCCACTGAAAAGAGCGGAAGCTGTGATAAAAGCAAAGCATGGAGTCTGAACTTGTATTTAATGGCCGTTTTGACTGGAAATGAAAGAAATGAAAGGGTGGTATCTGACTTTTGTACAGCACTGTACTTTGCGAAGAACAGTAAAATCAGGCTGGAAACACAGTCGACTGTACTGGAATGAGTATGAAAAGCATGTCGGTGATAGGCAGGTGTTTCAGAACACCACGGGAGTTCAACTGGCTATAAAAACCCCCAACAATCAGCAGTGTTTGGCGACGCCTGCAGTCAAATAGGGCCGTAATTAACTCTGACACGGCTTTGTGTTCATTCATGCAATGGTTTCCAGAGCTCCTCTTGCTTGTGCGTGGTTGGAATAAGCAATAAATCATGTGCAACATGGCAGGCAAATGGCAGTTCAGCTTGTGGAGTGGTTCCCGTTGTTGATGTTAGATGGCTGCCACATTCTAGACAGGGATTAAGAGCTCAAGGGCGTAAAAAAAAGACATTGAAGGGTTTTACGGCTGTAAAGGACGCACTGTTTCTAAGACACTGATCAATGTTGCTATAAATCATCAGTGTTGAAGTAACCTTTACTTTTTTCCCATTGAAACGCCACCAAATGCTCAGGAAGCGACCCATCCTATTGAACTGAGACCAGTTTTCCAGTTCCTGGAATGAGAACTTTCCAGGGGCTTCGTTGGGAAATGACATCAGGCTGTGTTTGTGTCATGGTTTTATTCTATATCCGTGTTAGAATTTTATGTACAAAATGATTGGCAAGATTTTACAAAGGTCACACAAAGGAAATCAAGCTAATAGTGCTAACACTGAAGAGGAAACAAGAAATGGCATTTAATATCGTAGGCACATTGTGCTTTTTTAACTGTAGAGCATTTGGACATCAGCTGCAGGCTATAGGTCAGCAGGGTATGGGGACTGCATTTCAAAAATAAGAAAAAAAAAAAAAGCTTTGGTCAAGTCCAATCTTAGCCCAATATGCATGCTGCCCAGAATAAGAGCTAAACTGGCAGTAGGAAAAAGCTTGGACGTAGAATGAAGTCGATTAAGGCTACTATAGCTATTTACCTTAGCTTGCATCAGTTTAGCATATTAAATAGTGTCTTTATCAGTGGAGGACATGGTATATCTACTAAGGATGTAACAATATGAAAATAATGTATATTTTATTGTATCAAGTTGTATCGTGGAGTATATACTGCATTAGCTAGTGACTAGTATACTAGCTTGGGGCTAATTTTTGTTTCACATATTGTATTTTAGTAATGTTGATTGCAATGATCCACTGAAAATGGAAATATTAACATCATAGCCTAAGGCACATTTTCAGCCACTGCTTGTTTCTATATTAGACATTTTAAATCAAAACACCACTCTATCATATCGAATCAATTCCTGAATTTTGTGAACCATTACACCCCTAGCATCTTCAACCAGCCCTCTACTGATTCTACTAGAATCAACAGCATATTGAATGCAAGAGCTGATTAACTGATTACTGAATATAGGTTGTGTTGTCTAGAGCAGTGGTTCTTGAACTGGTACTCAGGGACCCCTGATGGTCCACATTTTTGCTCTCTCTCATGTGTTTCAAGCCAGGCTGAAGCAATATCTGTACTGTCCAGGGGTCCCTGAGGACCAGTTTGAGAACCACTGGTCTAGAGTGAGTTGTCACAGAGTGCACAATAATGTGAGTAATACAAAAAGTCATTCTGACAACAGAAGAGATTCAACGAAGAGAACATTCAAGGCTCAAAGAAAATCTTGAGTGCAGATTTCACAGTGTAAAATACAGGTACGTTTCCAAAACCATCCAAAAACCTAGAAGCGGGTTTCTAACTATTGAAATATCGTTCAAAGAAAGAAGGGAATTTAACAGAAACATTTGATAAGCATTCTGGTCATTTTACAACCCATTCGAGAGAGATATGGATATATACATTAGCGATCATTTGGATAGTGGATCAGCTGTACCATTCGTGAATCACTCCAGTTAAGAGTCCTCTATCTTAAACAGCACAGACCCGAGTGTTGATCTGAAAAATACACATAGAAATATATAATATATACTGTATATAAAACAAAGTGGGGGGGAGGGACATTATTTGGGGTTGCTGGGGATGTGCAAGTTCATTAAAGTAGGATGGAACATCGAGGGATTATTTGAAGACATTCTCAAAGGCAGGACACTTGTGGTTTCGCAACTTCTTCATGGTCTTTTTGAACTCCTTGCTGGATTTGTCCCACTTGTAGATGCCAGTGATGATGTGCTGCTTGTCTGCCTTGCGGCCCATGATGAGGTAGCTGTTGCTCAGGTTGTCCAGCTGCGAGCACGGGCAGTCGGCGCCGTTCTTCAGGTACAGTATGAGCTTCTTCATGTCTTTCTTCTTCAGTGTGCCCATCTTCAGGGCCTTCTTCTTCTTCTGGAGGATCACCTTGCGGTCCGTGTTCTCCCGTTTCACCTCCTTGATCTTGGTCTTGATGACTGAGGAAAAAGAGGAACAAAGACAGAGGTTGGAGTCAGGCTTATGAAATCATATACGCTTGAGAGACAGAGGGAGAACCATAACAGCCTTGAGCGAACCTCGCCTAACTGACAGGCTAGGAAAGAATGGGCTCTTTGCTTTCAGCGGCTGAGTCGGCTCCACGGTTCACAAACCTGGGATCTAGCCAGACTTGCTCACCTCCAGTGTCCTTTTTCAGAGAACTCTTTGTGCCTAAATTATGAGGGAAGTTGGAAAGCCAGCACAGTACATTGATAATTTGGCAAGCTAAATGTAGTTGATCAGCCAAGACAGGTTTGGTGTCCAAAGTTTGCTTCTTTAGCTTTGCACTGGAGCTACGAGGCTAATGTGTCTGACAAGTGATATAAAAATAGGCAGAAATATTTTGCACTGTTACGGTGGTAGGCATAATATCAAACTCATAGCCCAATTACATGTTGTTGATTTTCAAGATGAAAATAAGTATGCATACTTTACAGGGAAAAAAAAAACTTAAATATGGCGTTTTTCTGCAAATCTTACTGCACAATTTCTGTAAATTTGCTCATTTCAACATATTAGGAAACAACTAAACACAAAATATCAAATGTGCCATAACTGTTGTGCAATTACTTTTGCACAGGCCTTGTTTTTATATTTTATTTTATTTTCAATACTTTACATTAAGCAAAGAAACAGTACATATTAAAATGTATGTTGAGATGTGTCTTTTGTTGAGGATTAGTAACTTATTTTCACTTAGAAAATCAACAAAACGTAATTTGACTGGGTGCATAAACTTTTGCACATGACTGTAAAAACTTGTAGCAGGCATTTTGAAGACTGAATTGTTCTTTACTTTAGAAATAGGATAAAAGACAACTTTACATCATGCAGTTGATGCAGCATAGTGTGTAATATTGCTGCTCTCCAAACAGCTGATGGGGTTTGAATCCCTGCTCTGGCAGGCACTTCACATTATACTAGTTCCTTGGGGAAGATACCTAACATTGCATTCACCTACTTTTGTAAAATGACTAAATTGTTGCTGTTGGTAATTCTAAGTGATGAAATGTGCATGGTCCTAACTGGTGGGGTATAGGGATGGACTGTGCAGACCCATGCCATCCCCTGGTTTCATTTGAATCTGTGTTAATTTCTCCGTAGCGAAAGTAAAATGGTGTAGTGCTACTCAGTGCTAACAAAATTTGTATTTCAGTCTCTTACTGACAGATACTCATTTGAAACATGCTTCAGACACCAAACATTTTGGGATAAGAGGAAAATTACATTTGGGGTAAGGGGAAAAGTTCTACATTCCCCCTCAGGCCAAGCAGAAAGCAAGAGTTGGGTTGCAGGGTGTATCAGCAGAGCCAAATGAAAGAGGGATTAGACTAGTAAGTAATCCAGGGGGGGTTGGTAAGGTCAGAAATGGGGGCTGTAATCAATATCTAGCTTCTGTCCTCTCCACAAGGTCCCAGGGCACTTCATAATGACCCAGGTATCTTTGTCACAGACTCAAGTTTAAGGGCCTTCATCAAGATAAAGCATTAGCCATGTAAATCAATCTGCCCCCACTGCCCTCTCTGTTCCCAGGGGGCAAGAATGTCACAAATTGCAGCCTGTCTGCACTGCGCCCCTCCAGACGTAACTGAATCTGCTGGTCTCGTTCTGCACAGGCAGGACCTGAATTATAAGCACATTTCAAATAGGCAAGGACCACTGCTTCTTAACCATCCATGGTCAAAATGTTTTTTATTGAACGTGTGACCAAAAGGAGAATGGTAACCTGCCCTGTGGCAAAGAGTCTGTTTCATGTGAGCGTTGGTCAGATGATATAGGAGGAGGTTGAATGTATTAGCTGATTTGGCTACAATCTTACACAAAAATTTAAAAGATTCCTAAATGGCTCTTGATTAAAACCTTTAACTGGTAAAAATATTTTCTCAAACTGTAAAATTCATCAGTGGCAATGCTCCATTTGGTAACTTCATTTTTGAATAATGTAAGTGCTTTTACCATAAAGTTTCATGCTAACTGGCACAGTTTAGCACATTGGCACCAGAAACTGAAACTGTGCTATTTCCATTGGCCACTGGTCCAGTACTAATTCCAGTTCCAGTTTTTTTTTTTTCTTTTTTGTTGGTACTAGCTCAAGATTGGTACCACCCAATGGTACTCATGTATAGTCAAAGCTACTAATATGTTTTAACATGTAACTGAAGCTAAGGACAATTATTTACTTTTCCACATGAAAATAAACTTACCAAGCACTATTAAACAGCAAGTAGGTACACCAGTATTACTACTTGCAAAGAGTTTGCTTAAGTGACAATAGCTAGATACAAATGCTAGAAACTAACACTTTCATTTTCAGCATATCCTCCACAGATTGAGTGGTTTTGCTTCTATCATTTTATTTTTGCTTTCACACCTATCAGAGAAATATATTGGTTTTGCTTAATTCTGAAGATGATTCTATGGAAATGGAGTATGTGTACAGGATATCATTTCACATCAGCCAAAATGTTAAGCTAACTAGCAAGTAAGGTGGCTAAATACTTGAATTAGGTGCTTTTGAGGGGCATAAAATGACCAAGAAGACAATGAAAATGGTTATTATGGTGGTTCAGGTGGAAAAGGAACTATAACTTGACTTGTAAGTTCTGTTGGTTCCCCTTTGGGTCAGTTTTTGAATGTGCAATAAAACAAGACCTTAGTGAACCCTTACAGCCCTAATCCACAGTTAGTAGCACTAAAACAATAAACTGCAAATCACTTGGGATGGAAAAGTAACATGAATTGAATCAGTTAATGAATATAATTGGTTCTTTTCTGTCCTGTATGAAATCATAAGACCTTTCAGGAAGCACCTTGATATTCTGGGTAAAATGGTGCTTTGTGGAGATTCAGCCATGACCTTTTTCTGTTTTTCTGTTTCCTTCCCACTGTAATCTCACCCCACCTCCTCAGATTTGTCTTAATCTGCCTGATCTTTCACTAAACTCTCTTTAACCTCTTAATCTTCTGGCTTCTTTAGCCTTCTGCCGCCTGTGTTCCACACGAGTCAACTACATGGTGGTCCTGCTCAGAGACGTGACTAAATTTCAGGTGAGTCCATTCTACCCCAAAGTAATGACCGAGAAAAAGTAAAGCAGCGGTCCAGCATCATTGACCCTCTCGTGAACCTCAGTCCCTCTAGCATCCTTTGAGGAATTTGTCCCAATTAGCTGCCCTGCTCCCAAAGACCCGTGGCAAAGAGCTCTGTGGAAAAGACATATGAATTGAGATTTACTGCTAATTGCCCTTTAATGGCCTGATCAGTCTCCATCGGCTGTCAGTGAGCAGACCACAATGAAACTAAATCCTTCCTGTGTGGTGTTGAACCCTGACTTATATATCCTCAGTGGCCGGGAGCATGCTAATGTAACAGATAGTCGTTGCCAAAGAAAGTTGTGCTTGGAATTAGCTCTCATTTAGAGACCCTTATAAGCTGGAAAGAGACTGAGGGAGCAACACCCAACAGCCGTATGTCAGAATTTCAACAAGCCGCATTACGTATTTGGAACTCCTTTCATTGCGCGACCCTGAAGTTTGGGGAGCAACCAGAAGGTATGTTTTAGTATCTCAATGAGCTGCAAGACTGAATGGTCTTCCAGGCAGCGTTTCAGCTAGAACTCCACCACCTCATCTCTCACACCTACTCACAACTAATTAGCACTGCAGAGAAATACGGTACACTTTTCCAAGAATTAACAGTGCACATGGAAGAGATTAAGGGCTTGATCCGGAGTCTCAGCTCCATGAACTGATTCTCTAAGAGGGCTTAACGTTTAATGGAATTTAAAAAAAAATGATCAGGCTTCGGAGTTTTCAAGTCGGGGGGAAAAGACGGATCCAAGCCCACCCTTGAAAACCACTTTGCTGAGGTTTAAATTCCACCTGAACTCTTGGGTGAACTCTCGGTGCACCTCACTGCATTTGCAACTGTAATCCGCACAGTCACGGAGTGCTTAGCAAAGTCAGTGCTGCATTTCAGTGGAGGCTTTGTGGCTTATACCCATAATAGCAAACTGTTGCTGACCAATGGCCCTGAGATATCTACAGCGAAGTTTGTTTATTTGAGCCCTCTTTTAATCCAGAGTCTCAAAAAAGGGCAAGCTATGGTAAAATCTTACACGTTCTAAGATCTTAGCTGCCAGTTTCTTAGGTATGCTGACCTTGTTCCGACACTTTGTGACTATCAGAAACATCAACCATATATACTCTGAAAAAAGAGAGTTCTTTTAGCAATACCTTAGAATAACCACTTTTGGCATATGTGTGATGGGCCTTCACAAACTGGATAGGGTCTGTACCAATTTAAGGTTTCTTCCAAGAACCTTTACATGATGTGGTTCTTTAAACATTAAAAAGGTTCCTCACACTCATCTCATTTAGAAAAATAGTTCTCTAAAGAACCATCCATTGAAAAATTCTTTTGCTTGAACCAAACGTCGTTCTATGGCAGGGGTACTCAATCCTGCTTCTTGAGATCTACCACTCTGCTGAGTTTTGTTCCAACCCTGATCTTACACACCTGTTCCAGGTAATGAAGGTTTTCAGGGACATCTTAACATTAGCTCCAGGTGTGTTGGTAGAACTCCAGGACCAAGACTGAGCGCCCCTGTTCTAGGGCATTGTGCAAAGAACCCTTTTCGTCACCTTGTTTTGAAAGAGTGTAGTTGTGCATTGTAGGTTTACAGTTACTGACTGCAGTCTATCTGTTGCACAATTTATCAGCCCCCTCTACTAAGTCTAGCTATAGAAAATGACCACAATAGGACCTCTGCAGAGCAGATAATGGTGGCCCATTCTTAGCAAAACAAGGTAGTAATACAGTAGTGAATGTTATCATGGTATTTCTTCAGTATACACTTCAGTATACTTCTGCATGATACTATGTTCCAGACAAATCTAGGATACAAAAGAACCGTAAGTCTTTTTAATGAGTATCTCCAAA